AAGAACGGCAGTTCATAAAATAAGTTGATAGGCAACTCGTGGCTGTCTTTCGTTTTCCGTTATTGGTCTATCGCTGGTATTATGCTGCTAAGCTTGCTGCACGGTTGCGGGCATTTGCTCGCCGAAGAAGCCCACCCCCTCTAACCATCTGGCCGGGTCTCCCACCTCCCGAGTCAAGTAGACGCGAGTGCTGTACTTCGTACATATGTCGCGTCTTTACGCGTGCCTTCAGTCCACCGTAAGTCATGCAGCATGAGGCTACCCTAATCAATATCGATGGCTTAAGAGTGCCCCTGGCTATCCGTACTCTCGCCGGTCTGTGCTGAGTGGAAGTTTATCCATACAGAATTTGACGGCACGTCGCCTGTCAATTCATTGTGAGGTTGATCTGGTCCCCGAATCCGTCCTTGAACGTTGATTGTGTACGTACGCCGGGCACTTTCACTGTGCTATCTCTTCGGCTTGTAATTTTTTTTTCTTTGCTGGGACCATGCCTGGTGTTCAGCTCGGCGAATCGTGGCTTCTCTCGATGATGTCCTCCCTTCCTATTGGTCTTGTACCATCGTTGAACACCATTGCCTCGCGGTGTTGGCGCCTAAGACGCTGTTCTTCGGCCGAGTGCTCCCGTGTCCGAGGGACTTGCTCGACTGCCAGCAGCGCTTCCGCATCGTCGTCAACATCAGCGTTACATAATGTGGACTGTAAGGCAATGGTGAATCCGGCCAAGTTGGTATCCGGGTTGAGATCGAAACTGGTCTTGGCGGCAAGGTTGCAGGCGAGGATGGCCTTTGCTCCCTGAGTAGTGTGTGCGATTCTAGTCACAATGTCGACAATGCGGTTGTTCTTGTGCTCCATATAATAAATGAAGTTTTCTTGCCTTTCGGCATCCGTGTCTCCCCACTGCTGCTTCGCCAACCACTTTTCCACGAACTTGGCCTTAACCAACATGTCCGCACCGTACTTGGTGATTAGCTCGAGGACGAACATAAGGCAGAACCTCTCAGCCATATCGCGAAGGTAGTATTCGTCCCAGTATTTGTCGTCGAGTTTCGTTTGCTCCGTATCGTCGAGACTTAATTCGAGTGATCTGACAAGGGCCGAGTACGCTCTCCATGTGTGCAACTTCGACAGGCCCTCTGCGAAGTCTAAAAGTCAGTCAGCTCGTCCGTCTTACAAGAGAGATTGCTTTGCCTACCGTTAGTCTGCCCAGTAAGCGTTGCCAGAGCACGAAGATTCTTCATACGAGTATCGTAGGCCGGTCGCGTGATGCCGTAGAGGAGCTGTCGCACCGTACCGCTGTCGTTAACAGCACGGTCGCAAAGTATTTTGATGGCAACATCCCGAATCGAAAAATTGGGGTGACATAGAAGTTTGTCGAGAGTATCAAGGCCAAGTGCATCTTCGGTCTCTTGAGTGATGTACTGCGTTTTTGGCGGCGTGACCTTAACTTCATTGTCGTCGCGAATGTACGTCAGCATCTGGGTCATCATAGTGACCAGGCCAAACGTAGCGGCGCCAATGCCAACGAGGATGATGCGCTCATCGCGAACGAATGACATGAGAGTCATCTTGTTTGATGTGGAAAAATAACTTTATGGAGCATGATCGCCTATCGATTCTTAAACATTGAGCTTTCACGCGTGGGAAACTCAAGGCACACAGCTGGAGGAAGCAGGTTTAGGTGCACCGACGGGTGCTGGGGAGCTCAAGCCGTAACATCCATGAGTTCTGCCTTGCGCCACCGCCCATCCAATCCCCACCATCCCGATAAGATAAGCCTACCGTCCCGCTCAAAAAATTTGGGCAAGTGCGAGGACCGATTTGCTTTTTGAGGAAGTTTACTCGTGCCTCAGCGACAACAACGCCGAGTATTTGTTACGCTCGACAAGATGGCCGGCTCGCAACTCAAGCGGCTCAAAGCCTCCCTGAGGGAGCAGGGAATTACTGGACCCCAGAAGTCTAAGAAGCAGAAGCGTCAGTTTGCGCAGGACGAAAAGGCCAAGACGGACAAGCGCCTACAAAGAGGTGCTGCCTTGGGACAAATCAGAGAACAATTCAATCCCTTCGACCTGAAGCACAACCCACGAGGACCCAAATTCGAAGTCACAACGAACAGACCTCAAACAGGTGCCGCAGCGAGAGGAATCAATGGCCGTCCCACCGAGGCCAAGTCTCTGGGCGAGCAGAGGGTAAGGCTACACTGCTGCTCCTACGCCGTGGTATGCGATGCTGACGAATTGCACAGCGACGAGAGACACTACTTATCGAGATGCAAAAGCGTAACAAGGTCGGCGGGATTCTCGATCGTCGTTTTGGTGAAAACGACCCATCCTTGGCCGAGGAAGACAAGATGCTCGAACGTTTCGCCCGCGAAAAGCAGAGGTCACACAAGAAGACGTCGCTGTTCGATCTCGAGGAAGCCGAGCCACTAGGCGAATTGACACACATGGGCCAGGCTCTCAACTTTGCACACCATGCGGATATGGCCGACGACTTCGACGAGGATGACCTTGGTTCAGATGACGACAGCGACTCCTCCCTATCTGACAAGAAGAAGAAGCTTAAGCGCCTGCGCGAAGCTGGTTTCGGCGAAGACGAAGAGGGAGCGAATGACGAGCCAGACAGGAAAAAGTCCAAGAAGGAAGTCATGGAAGAAGTCATGGCAAAGTCGAAGATGCATAAATACGAACGGCAGATTGCCAAGGACGAAGACGAGGACCTGCGGATGGAGTTGGACAAGGAGCTCCCCAACCTTCACGCTCTCCTGATGGCCCATGGAAAATCGGATGCGCAGAAGAAGGACGAGGGTGGCAAGTTGATTGCTGGAGTTGACAAGGCAACTTTCGATAAGGAGTTCGATTTGCGCCTGAAGAAGCTCGTTCAGGATCGCCGTGCGGCCCCCACAGAGCGCACAAAGACTGACGAGGAATTGGTGGAGGAGGAATCCAAGAGACTGAAGGAGCTCGAAGAAAAGCGCCTGAAGAGAATGAACGGCGAGGCCGTGTCTTCCGACGAAGAAAGCGAGGAGGATGAGGAAATGGAGGACCAACCTGCCGAAGATCCTGCTTTTCAGTGGTTCCCTGAGGAGGAAGAAGAGGATTTCGGCCTCGGGAAGGGTATCAAGACCAAGACCCGCCCGACGGCGACAGAGCTTGGCTTTGACGATGAAGATGACTTCCTCATCGAGGACGATTTGATTGCTAGTGGTTCGGACCTGGAGCCTATCGAGAGCGACGAGGAAGAATCGGACGAAGAGGAAGAATATCAAGGCGACGATTCCGAGGACGAAGAGTTCACCAAAGGTCTGCTCAACGAAGAGGAAGCAAAGAGCTCCGTGTTCGCAAACGCTGGTGGACAAGGGAGCGCGGTACTCGACAGCTCCGACCTGCCTTACACATTCCCATGTCCACAAAGTTACGAAGAACTCTCGGCGCTGGCACAGAAGTACCCTAGCGATAAGCTGCCTACCATTGTGCAGCGCATTCGAGCTTTGTACCACCCTAAGCTGGACAGCAGGAACAAAGAGAAGCTCGGCAAGTTTGCTCAGGCGCTTGTGGACATGATCGGTCATGGCCCACGGACCGAGAGCAGCCCATCTTTCCAAGTACTGGAGAGCTTGGTACGACATATCCACTCTCTCGCCAAAATGTTCCCCGTCGAAATCGCCAACCAGTACCGTTCTCATCTCGAGGAGATCAGCCAGCAACGACCCCTTGCCGTGAATGTCGGCGACCTGACACTCTTGACTGCTATCGGATCGACATTCCCTACATCTGACCACTTCCACCAGGTCGCAACTCCTGCCATGCTTACCATCGGGCGTTACCTCGGTGGCAAGATTCCTCAAACACTCAGTGATTACGCCACTGGTATCTACCTTTCGACTCTGGCAGTTCAGTTCCAGCAGCTTTCAAAGCGATACGTTCCCGAGGTGATGAGCTTTTCTCTCAACACCTTGTGCGCGTTGGCTCCCTCGGCAGTTTCGAAGCTGTCGGGCAGCTTTCCTCTTCATGAGCCAGCAGCGGGTATTCGCGTCGCAAACGCGCGGAAGACGGAGCTCCGACAGCTCTCGCCAGCTGACTGCGCCAAGACAGATGTGAGCGGTGCCGAAGCTGAGTCCAAGAAGGTTGCCCTATTGGACACAACGCTTCAGCTCCTGAGTGCTGCTGCGGACACCTGGACTGGGAAGCCTGCCTTCAACGAGACCTTCCAGCCAGCACTAGACATCGTGGCGCACCTGAGCAGCAAGTCAAGCCGCGCAAAGTTCCCCGAGGCTCTTGGTGAACAAGTCGACAAGTCCAAGCTCAAGATGGAGCGCATGCTCAAGATCGCTCAGCTCGCGAAACGGCCGCTTGAGCTGCACCACCACCGCCCGCTTGCCATCAAGACGTTCATCCCCAAGTTCGAGGACTCTTACGACCCGAACAAGCACTACGACCCGGATCGCGATCGTGCGGAGATGGCCAAATTGAAGAAGGAGCACAAGAAGGAGCGCAAGGGCGCTATGAGAGAGCTGAGGAAGGACGCCCAGTTCATGGCCCGCGAGAATCTGCGTGCGAAGAAATCCAAGGACGAGGCGTACGAGAAGAAGTACAAGAGGCTCGTGGCGGAGATCCAGAACGAGGAGGGAAGGGAGGCGAATGCGTACGAGAGGGAGAAGGACGGCAGAAAGAGGTCCAGGGCGCGGTAGACGGCTTGCGCTTCAGTCTTTTGTGTTCCGGTATCAAAAAGTTGATGGGTGCTTTTCGGCATAGTTTATTCCCTTTTTGTATTCAATACCAGTAGAGGGGTGGAGTGCTCATTCGTGGCTTGACATAGATGATTAAGGCAGGTAACGGGCCATTAATCCAAATCCATACCCAAATGACCCAGTCGAGGGACGCGTTACCATTATGAAGTCTAGAAACATCAGTATCCATGATGAATTGGCACGTTAGGTGATTCGAGCCCATCCAAGTGAAGTCCATTTGTACAGTGCAAGTAGCCATATTCCCACCATTTTTTGCCTGCCCGAGCTGACAGCTGACGTCGGTCCCACCCTGCCCCAGGACGTGCATCAACAAGCTCTTTCAACATCCTTCAACTTCAAAGTTGCGATTTGAGGCCGAATTGCCGCCAATATCACAGACATTCATCTAATCAGCCAACCCACTCAAACAACTCAAGGTTCCTCTGGTCTATCATCAGCGTCCAATTTTACAGCTCCCAAAACCCGGGTTGAAGACATCAACGCTGAGCCTCATCATACAGAACACCACCCAGACCGCGCTTACACGGCTTCGCTCACACGACACCATACAAAATCAGTACCACTCAGACGGAGCCCTGCATTTCAAACTCACTCTCACCTATAAAAAGCTCTCCAGTGTGTCAGAGGATAAACCCCTCACCATACAGCAGCCATGGCAGCCTCCGACGACGAAGACGACTACATGAACATGACCTTTGACGAGCCAACCACCTCCGCCACCTCAAAATCCCAACCAGAAACCTCCCTCCAGCGCCGCCAGCGCCTCAAACGCGAAGGCGAGATCCGCGGCCGTCCCAAATCCAAAGAAGAACTCGCAGCCGAAGAGGAAGCGGCGCGCGAAAAGGCGCTCTCGCGCTCCTTGCTTGAGACTGCGGCCGCCAAGAAGAGTAAAGGGTTCGCCATGATGGCCAAGATGGGCTTCAAAGCGGGTGAGGCGCTGGGTGCTGGTGGTGCTGGTTCTGGGGCGGCAAACGGCAGTGGTGCTGGTGCTGGTGCTGGCAATGGCGCCAGGACGGAGCCGATTGCTGTCGAGGTCAAGGCGGACCGGGGCGGTATCGGGATGGAGAGCGAGAGGAAGCGCAAGTTGAGGGAGGCGGCGGAGAGGATTGAGGAGGAGGTGAGGGAGGGGAAGAGGGTGCGGGTCGATCCGTTGGAGTATCGAGACCGAGTGAGGATGGAGAGGGAGGCGGCGAGGGTGCAGGCGCAGGTGTTTGCGGCGCAGCGGGTTTCTGAGAGGATGGCGGAGGAGAAGGAGGCCGAGGAGGCCGAGGGGGCTGGCTTGCTGGGTTTTCAAGGGGCAGCAGACAGCACAAGCAATGGCGACGAAGGAGACGGCAAGAAGGACAAGACAAAGAAGACACGTGCGACCGGCGCGGCATCGAGGCCGCTCAAGTCCATCAACGTCCTCTGGAGGGGTCTCGCTCGCCACCGCGAGGAAAAGGAGCGGGACCGCAGGATGCGGTACGATCTGGAGCAGAGCCTGTCGCGGCTGCCGACGTATGAGGACGACGACGAGGACGCCGACGACCGCACGGCGCTGGGGAAGAAGCAAATTGTCTACGTCACCGCGGAGGACCTGGACGAGGAGGATCCCGAGCTCGACGCGTTCAACGAGCTGGAGGACGCGGAGAAGCTCAGGCGGCTGGTGGAGTATCTGAGGAGAGAGCATCGGTATTGTTTCTGGTGCAAGTATACGTATCCGGACGATGAGATGGAGGGATGCCCTGGTGTCACGGAGGAGGATCACGATTGAGTTATGTTAAGTGTCGCACGCCATCAAAGGAATTTATACGTACATATGGTGTGAGAGTAAGGTATCGGGGATTTGTCATGATAGGTGTCATTATAATGTACAATATCTACATCTTGATATTACAGAGAGGATCTTGTGGCGTCTAGCCTCTTCCCCTTCCTTTACGTGCCAAAATATCGTACACGCCCATCTCTTTGGCCACCACCGATACCTGGCCGTTCGCCAGCTCACCAGCTTCTTGCATGTACGCCGTCTGCAAGTACGAAGAGTACTCCTCGCCACGCTGCTTGGGCGTCATCTCGTCAAGAGTCAGAGATCCCCCGATGGATTTCTGTCGGCTTTCGACGTGCGAATCAATCTTGCGCTTGATGAGGCGAAGCTTCTGTCGCGCCTGCGTTGTCTCCCAGGCCAGACTTGTTGTCTCCATCATCATTTCGAGGGCCAACACCTCGGGCGGAGTGAAGTCGAAGACGGCCTTGAAAGCTTGGAGGGCTACGACGATGCCAATTTTGTCCTGTAGCCGGCGGAATGTGTGGAGGATCTTCCTCGCGATTTGGCCGTCGAGGCCATCTGGTTTGAAGACGGATGCGAAGCGAACCATTTCTGCAAACGTCTCGCGTGTGATTCTGGTTTCGTTGGCAAGCTCCTCGCCAGCGATGTTGTGCAGGCGGTTGATACCTTGCATCTTCCACAGCGCCATGAAAGTGTAGGGGTCCGGTTTGACCTGGCGCTCATACACGAGAGTCTGGTACAGCTGGCGCGCCCCAGAGATGTTGTTGTTCTGGGAGTAGGACTCCAGTAGCTGGTTCATCATGAAGGCGTCCGGGCTAATTTCTGCTTCCCTGAAGGCGTCCCATAACTTCGCTAGGTCGCCGTGAAGGCTGCGAAGGCGATAATTCTCCGCGAGCAGAGAAAACGTTTCGAGCGTGGCCTTGGGCATGGCAGCCGTATGAGATTTGACAGACACTTCGACTCTTCGAACCGGCCCTTGCATGGCTGAAAGTCGACGACGGTTCTCGACAAAGTCAACGCGAGCATTGATCATTTGCCATGCCAACCTGTCCGCCTTCTCCAGATTATCGGCGCCACCTGACCTTTGCCAGGCACCGATAAGCCCGTTTACCTGGATGCTGGCCGCTTCGATGCCCTTGAAGCGCATGAATTCGAAAACGCTATGCGCTCCATTGAGGTCTCCGGCCCCGATAAGTCGTTTCAGCCATTTGCCAAAGAAGAACTTATTGCCAATTTGAGAGGGCAGTCGGTCTCGTCCACCCAGTTCGACTGTACTGGAGCTCATCATATCGACAAAGGCTTGCAGAGCGTATTCCGTCTGTCCCGTCGTCAAGAAAAAGGAGATCACCTGGTCGTAGTCCTCGAGCCCCATTGAAGAGCTAAGAAGGTCCCTCATTCGACGGTATGCGTCCCAGGCTTTTATCCTTGGCTCCGCGTTGGGATTTGTTGCACAGCTCCTAATGTACGGCAACAGAATGCGTGGATCGAGTTGGCGCTCGAGCAGCTTGTTCACTGCGCGCTCTGCCTGCACAAGGTCCCCTTGTTGGCAGAACATGCGCACTCCAAGCTCCCAAAACTCCTTGAAGGTGTCTGCACCACTGTCGCCGAGGGTGGACATACATCGCTTCCAGTTATCGATGGCCTTGGCCTCCCATCCGTCCACAAACATGGCTTCAACTGTGACCAGCTGTTGCGATGGGCTCAGAGCAACCTTTGCCTCGCTCATATCTCTTGCTAGTAGCGAAAGGTATGTGAGGCGGCTTGGGTTACTCGCATCGTCAAGCGACAAAATATCCCACAGAAGATTCCATACGTCCTGAGGAACATGCGCCCAAGCTTTTGCCAGAGATTGCCTCGCCGCGCTGTACGTTTTCCACACCGTCTGGGCAGTCTTTGCCGTGACGTCTTCGCCTCGTCGCATCTCTTTCGTCGTTCGGGAGAGGAGCGTATTCAATCGTACGATCCGTTTTCGCTGGTTGAAGCTCCACACTTTCTCGGGAATCTGCGGAATCGGGGGGAACTTCTTTCGTTGCGAGGGGTCTAGGCGAGCAGTCGCCTGTATGACACCCAGCGTTGCCGCGGGATTCTTGTAGTCGAATTGGCTGACGTCGAATCCTCTCGCCTCGAATTGGCTTTCTAAGTCTTTGATGTATGCGTTCAAGCTCTCTAATGTTTCTTCGGGGTTACTGGTGTCCCCGAGCTTGTCTTCGAAGTCTTTCGCAATCGATTCGACGTCGGTAATTCCCAAAGCACCCAAGCCGCCCTCATTCTGGAATCGAGAGAGCTTACGCCGCATATTAGCTGCAAACATATCATTCAGCCCCTTCTTCAGATCGTCTGCGCCAGCCATAGATTCTGTGAAGGCATCCTCGCCCCCCAGCTGCTCAATGTTGCCGGATTCGCCCTTCTCGAAGAACTTTATAGTAGGCTCGTCGGTTCTCTTTTGCATCAGTTCTCTGAGAAGGTCGGCGGCTGCTTTGTTCGGATCGGCGTCGGTTTGGGCAGATGGCGTCGGAGAAGATTTGCGCTGTGTTTTCTGAGCACCTGGTCGAGGCTTGACTCCCAGTTGAGCAATACGGGAGCTATGTCGAATGGCCCATGGCGGCGGGGCAGAAGAGCCCAAAGTCGACTGGCATGACTGGCAAACGAATGTGTTCCGACATGCTATGTCACGAAAAAGAGTTCTATGAGACATAAGGAGAGTCGTAGTTGGTCAACATGAAAGGAGAAATTGGAGAAAAAGGGAAGCTTCAAACAGAGAGGAAGCCCATGGCAGGTAGAGAAATGGGTCAGATTTTTTGATGGACCCTGGACCTAGGTGCGCCTGCATCTGCGCGTCGCGAATCATTAAGAGCTTATCTTATCAGAGACATCCCAGTTGTATTTACCGCCTACCAATTTAAACAGAGCCAGCAGCCACACTCTGGCAGAAAAAGATAATTTTCTAAATCCCACCTTCGTCAACTCTTTTTTTTCGGCCTCGGATCTCACCAGCACCCAGCGACCGACGACAAAATGGCTTCCGCTCCCGAGTACCTGCGGTTCACAGGACACAGGTCCTTTGCGCAGCGACTAATCATATCAACTCTGACTGGTCGGCCAGTACACATTTCCAAAATTCGCAGCTCGTCGCCGACACACCCCGGTCTTGCGCCGCACGAGATTTCTTTCCTTCGTCTACTGGAAGCCGTCACCAATGGCAGCTCTATGCAAATTTCGTACACCGGTACGACGATCACATACCACCCCGGCCTGATCACTGGAACGATGGCCGGATTTGGCGCATCTGACGGCGACGTCATCGAGCACAACCTCCCCGCAAACAATAACCGCGGCGTCACCTACTTCCTCCTCCCCATCTGCCTCCTCGCGCCATTCTCGAAGGCACACGTCAACATTCGATTCACCGGCCCAGGTGTCATTACGTCTGCGACTGAAACGGGCGACATCTCTGTCGACTCCTTCCGCACAGCAATTCTACCCCTCTTCGGGCTCTTTGGCATTCCGCCGGCGCGAATTGAGCTAAGAGTGCTGTCGCGATCCTGTCCTGGAAAGAATGGTAGAGGTGGCGGTGGTGTCGTGGAGCTCCGATTCGCAAGCCAAGTCCGACTCCCGAAAACCTTGCACCTGAACCGCAACCCCGGCAAAATAAGGAGGATACGAGGAGTCGCATACTGTACGGGAGTCTCAGCATCCAACAACAGCAGAATGATCCACTCGGCAAGAGAGATTCTGAACGCTCTGGTTTCAGACATCCACATTGCAGCGCAGTACGACACAGCACCCCTCATCACGGCAGCGGACAAGTCAAAGACACGAACAGGTATTGGTTTCGGTCTGAGTTTGGTCGCTGAATCAAGCTCTGTCGGAGTCCTCTACTCGGCAGATGTGGTGGCGCCACCCGTGGGCGGCGTGGTCCCCGAAGATATCGGCAAGCATTGTGCCTATCAACTGCTGGAAACCATTGCGCAGGGTGGATGTGTCAGCAAATCATCAGCCAGCACTATCATGACTTTGATGGCTATGGGATCTGAAGACGTGGGCAGATTGAGGATAGGAAGAGATGTCATTGGATCAGAAGAGATGGTTGGGCTCGCACGGGACTTGCGGACATTCGGCGCGAGTAGTTGGGGTTTAAGGGACGTCGAAGACGACGAGTCAAACGATATTCTTGTTTCGGTCAAGGGAAGCGGTGTTGGTAATGTTGGTCGCAAAATTGCTTAAGATACCAGAATGCGACGGCACAATTGAAGATCAATTGCCATTGAATATCATGATACCATCTAAACTACCTCTGATTCCTCTGATTGCGTTCTAGTTGCGGCATCCGCCTCATCGCGGATAGTCTCGTCAAAGTCGCGGTATAACCCAGGGTTTGAAGTGAGTGGCCGGCCGCTCCCCAATAATCAGTGGTGGCATGTCTAACAGTGTGAGATATGTGGAAATCTCCTAAAACGCCATTCCCTGAGCTCAGGACGTCGAATAAATGCATCCCGCTGGCAGCGTTCGAGGACGAGCGTCGTCTCGAGGACCGCCTTCGTTCGGACTCCTGGCTATTTTCGGCATCGCCGTTGGGTCGTAGAGGCTGGAGCTCCACATTGTCTGCGCCCTCCAAGTCCAATCCAGGTGCATCTCTCAACACCCCTCGCTCCTCGGCATCGTGATCTTGAGTCGAAAGACCGATCGTCTCTTCTAGGGCCGGGGGCAAGCGAAATAACAGTGGCCGTACAATGGGCCGTAGCTTCTCTCGCTCTGCGTGGACAGCAAGCATGAGACACTGCACAGCCAGTATAATGCAATCGAGGGCTAGAAAAGTAAGCCTCGAGGTTGGTGGTTTCTGCCCGATGAAATCGACAATGACACCGCCATGGAGATAACCACGAGCAGCTTCGCCCGCTACAGGTAGGGATGCAAAAATATGTAGCAGGACACAGAGTAAGTTCGGGACAAACACCGATATTACTTGCGACCGGGCCGCCGCCATAGTCAATGGGTAGTCGTCAGGCTTCGGTGTAAGCCAGTGGTGTTGTCCATAGACGCGAACTGCAAAGCGGAAGATGGAGCACCTGCATAATTGTCAGAACATGGGACCA